CTTTCAAACGAGGCGAGGATTCTCCACCTCCTCGTCTGAAGGCCGTCGTTCTGCTTCTCCAATAACCTCAGTGTCTTCTCCAGCCCCTTGAAAGGTTTTGGGATAAACACCGAGGTTACCATACCGCTCGGTATATCTCGGACTGCTACAGCTGCCAGACGACCACCCTCCCAAAGGGGGTCCAAGCTGTTGATTGTCTTCTTAAGAAAATCTGAAGTCTTCTTAGTGCGACAATCATATTGGGGATACCCCAATCACACAATAATTTCTAATTCCAGTGTCAATGCAGACAGATTTAAATTATTTATAGAAAGTCTTTTGGAGAAAATCAATTTGGAGTTGGAAAATTCGTTCATGATAATGGATAACGCTCAAATACACAAGCGACATGACATAAAAAATTTGATCGAATCCAAAAGATGCAACCTTAAATTCTTACCGCCTTATTCTCCAATGCTAAATCCAATCGAAAATGCATTTTCAAAAATAAAATTATGTGCAAGAGCTGAGCTGTGTGACGTTTCAATGGAACATAACATTGTTGATGTAATCGAGCGAAGTATTCAAAAGCTTACTCGGCAAGATTGTTCTAACTACGTTATGGACATGGTTTTGAAAATCCCACAATCTGCAAGTCGGGAACCTCTTCATTAAGATAAGCAGTTACCTTATCATCAACAATTTTTTAAATCAAATATGTATTTCGCATTTAGGACCGGGTATTCAATAATTGTTCTAAAATATTTATTTATTAAAATGTCAAGAAATACCCCAGTTTGTATTACTATTTTTTAGTTTTATTTAGTAAAGATATAAAATAAAATCACAACGAATTAAAGAATATTTATGTTAATTACATAGCCATACAACTATGTTTGTCAATATTCTTTGATTTAATTTTCAAATATTGGTTTAAAATTACTGCAAATATTATATTTCCTTGGATAAGAATAAAGGATTCATTTAATTTGGAAAAAGTTTCATTCTATTTGTAAAAAGTTCCATTCTATTTGTAAAAGGTTTCATTCTATTTGTAAAAGGTTTCATTTAATTTGTAAAAGGTTTCATTTAATTTGGAAAAGGTTTCATTTAATTTGGAAAAGGTTTCATTTAATTTGGAAAAGGTTTCATTTAATTTGTAAAAGGTTTCATTTAATCTGGAAATGCTATATATGGGGCTTGGTGCACCATAGGGACTTTTGTGCAGATCGAAATATTTATAGGGACTATGGCACACATCATTCTACACTCAATTCAGTAGCCTATACCAAATTACGTGCAAATCGAAAGATATATATGGACTTTGGTGCACCATTTACCTTAAATCGGACGAAAATATATATGGGAGCTATATCTAAATCTGAACCGATTTTTCAATTTCAATAGGGTTCGTCCTTGGGCCTAACAAATGAGCTGTACCAAATTTCATCCAAATCGAATTATAAATGCGACCTGTACTTTGTTTACAATTTAACATGGACAGTCAGACGGACGGACATGCATAAATGGATTTAAAAAGTGATTCAATGCATATTCTCAAAAGCAGCCACGTGTCTATCTCGTTTCCTTTTGCCTGTTACAAACATATGCACAAAGACATAATACCCTGTACCACAGTGTGGTGAAGGGTATAAATATTAAATGATAATATACCCTATCATCTATTAGAATGTTCCTTTCGATTTAGTAGATATTATCAACTATTATATGTAGATTTTCATCGCACAAATTATTCTATGGGAGATCCAAGAATGTTGAACTTATAAAATCGAATATACAGTATTTTTCGGATAATTGACCCTACGGTTAATTGGTTTCCCCGCTTAATTGAACCACATAATAGGGCAAAAAATATTGCATACGAAAACATATGTAAATTTCCTCGCATAATTGAACCCTGTTAATTGATTTTCCCGTTTAATTGGTTCAAAATTCATGCCATTAAAAATAAATTTCCTCTTATTTTTCATTATTGACTAATAATGTGGCATTTTTATAGACCCATAGTTCCATTTAAGAATATGCATAGAATCACTTTCTGTGTCGATTTATGCGTGCCCGTCCGTCTGATGATTACATTGTATGTTATATATTTTCGTGCGATTTTATGTAAATGGTGCACCAAAGCCCCTATATATTTTTCGATTTGCACGAAATTTTGCATAGAATATTGAATTAAGTCTAGCATGACGTGTTTTAAGTTTCGGAGAAATCGGTTCCAATTTTAGGTAAATGGTGCATTCGTTTGTAGAATGGCATATGTAGAGATTGATGTTAGTCAGTTCACATAAATATAGATAGACATAGATCACATATCTAAGTTCGTTCAATTTCATGTCAATGTTCCTTCGAAGAACGATGTCTATTAGGATACATATGTAGAATACACCAAAATGGCGAAGGCCCAGCCCGACTTTATTACTTTCATTATTGGTTTTCCATACATATTTGACATCATTTATGAAAAACACTATGGTTTACATTTAACCGGATTTCGTTTACCCAGTGGGTTTCAATTGTCATTTCCTTTGCATATATGTCAAATAAATCCTCATAAAGTAGGTTAACCCCGTAAAAAGCTCTAATGTACAAGGAGTTGTACATCTCTACTAATTGAAAACATATGTTTATTGCTATGGAAAAGCCGCGACAATAACATTAGAAAATAATTTCGCCGAATTATGCGTGATTTCTGTAATTGAACAAACAGTTCAATTAGGCGGGTATTGGATAATTGGTTCCTCGGTTAATTGAACAAAAAATTGTGCAAATCTTGATGTGCAATTAACCGAAAAATACTGTAATTGTATTTTTAAATGAGCAGTGCAACAGTTTAATAAACTGGCTGTTGGAGTAGATTCTGTAGCTGGTTTTCTATTCCCTTCTCATATTCCACCATGATGCGGATTATGGTGTGTACGCGATCCCCACGAAAGGAGAAGTCGCCCCCCCCCCCTCGGTCGGCAGGGGTGGGAAAGTGAGGTGTGAGAACGTTCATAAAACTACATTGATCATCATCATACAAGATATTGTTTTCGAATTAGTACATTTCTTTTTATTAGATGTTCAACAATAGGTGTGTCTGGTTACTTTTCCAGTAACATTTATTCAGTAAGTTATAGTTCAGAGAGTAAGCCGTTTTTAATATTTTTTGCGATAGTAAGATTTAGCAAATAAACAGCTGATTCAAGAAAACATTTGATTTGCGCCAAAATAAACAACAAACGAAGGACGAACACAATAAAAGAAAAATTGATTTGGTATGTTCCCCGGGAACATTTAAGCTTCCCGCATCAATACATTGCCCTGTATTTGGAACTTGCCTAAAATATATAAGGAATTAGTTTCTAATTTAATGAACGTTTGCATTACTTACGAGTTTTCTTCCATTTTCAGTAATTTTTATACAACTTAACTTCAAATTGAACTTTGCAAATTAAAAAAATGTTTTGAAAATTGTTTGTGTTTGGTCATAAAACAGCTGATCCAAAATTGGCTGAGTTTGCAAAATCTTACTGCATAAAATTTTTTCAGTAAACTCCAGTTTGTTGTTGTTGAACTGTCAAACTTGCTCTCTCGCTTGACTCTCATTTACTGGATTTTTGTGTAAACAGACAACATTTAGTAACAATTGTTACCAAATATCGAGTAAACAGACAGAGCTAATTTTGGAGCACACAGTCAGCATTGAAATGGGATGAAAATGCCGAGTTATATTGAAAGTTTTTTTGTCTTTACTCCTCCTCCAACTAGTCCACTTTCTTCTTAGTATAGAAGGTATAGGACCATATATCATGCGTAGACAAAGTCAAAAAAATCTTTAAAAATCGACTTTAGCTTCAATAAGTTGATATTTTGAGTAGGCCCGCTAAGACATGATAGGTTATTCGTATATTTCGTCTAATTTGATAAACATGTGTTAGTTAAGCAAAGGCTTAACAAATCGCCATTTTGGAAAAAATTGTTAAGCCCGTGGGCGTATTATACTTCTTAAATTGTGTCTTGCTTGTGAGCCGTCCGAAGCCACATATATTGTAAGTTTAATGTATGACCAATATGCTTCATTCCCAATAACAAATTTCACCTAGCGACAGGTAGCCAATAGAAAATAAATACGAAGGAAACAAACCTAACTACATAAAACAGCTTCCAGATGTCGCCGCAATATACAATAATAAAAATAAGAATATGTCAAAAGAACAAAAAAAATAAATAGTGTTGCCACTGGACTATCTTCTCGTTTATGACATTTCTATCGTATTTAGAAAATACACAGAGAGAGAGAGAAAACAATTCTCGTAAATAACATTTTTTGAAATAAACAATAAAAATTGTGTGACATAAGGGTTGTTGGATACCAACAAATCATCCAAAATTTATTGTAAAAAACAAAACATGCGCATTACAAAACAAACCATAACACAACTAACCACGTAAAAGCAAGCAACCATCCATCCAACCAACCACAGAGAATACATGAATATTCCTGCTCTCGCCTTACAACTAGATCATTTCATACGGTTTTGACAGATTAGTTTGGACAGACGTAAAGGACAGACGTATTATCGTGCGGAAAAATAATCGGGAAGATATTGTGTAAAAAAATTAGTTGGAAAATTGCAAGTGTTTTTCAGTGAATATAAGTGCAACCCCAAGCAAAATAATAGAACAAACAACAACAACTGAGAAGTGTCAAGAAAAACCAACAGACAAAAGAAAGGAAAACAGCAACAAAAACATTCGAGCATATTCTGCTGCTAGCACAACGAAAAGAAAAGATTAAAAAGCTAATTACAAAAACAAACTGCAACAAGAATCTGTAAGATACTTGGGGGTTTTTTAATTTCTTTTATTTCCAATTTGTTGGTGTTTAATAGTTTTTTTCCGGGTAAATTCTCGCTATCTTTAATTTGTGTGAGTGCGTACGTGTGTGTGTCGGCATCGGCAAAACAAATATCGCTTTTCCACTATATTTTTTGTATTATCTTTGAGAACGAATTATGGATATCCTAAAGAAAATGTTCCAGCAAACTGAGGAAGACGGCAAGGAAAACGAGTAAGTACCAAACAGACTGATTTTGCTTGTACGGTGTTTTATTGCTAAGCTTGAAAACTTTTATTAATACGTTTCAATTCTAGAGATGATGATAAACTATTTTTCAATTTGTCGATAAATAGAATTGCATAAATGCATAGGCACCCATCATAGTCTTTTTCTATAGTATATGTACGATATATAGTAAATGAATTGACCAGCTGATAGAGAATATAATTTCAAATAATCTATCGTTCATAAGAGAACAAGAAGAAAATCAATAAACCAAAACAGCAAATTTTTGCCTGTGTGCCTCAGCAGCAGATATATCTATAAAATTTCCTGGCCAACAAATTTCTGTTGCGGTGGTGCGATGCCTCCTCCGTTTATCGTCCGTCTAATACACACGCACACACATACTAACCAAATATATATGGACCATTTCAGTATAGACAATTTTATTGTTATTGTTGCAAAAGTTACCATACCATTCACCCGTAAGGAAGGATGTATGCACGGTTGGTTGGTTGATGGCAAAATGGAGGCTGCGCAGTACCAAACTTTTTCAAAAGGAAAATTTTTGAATTACATTTCTACAACAATTTTGTACATAACATAATGACCTGGGATTTTATTGCTCACGAAAGTGTTCGTCCTTTGAAATTGTTGTAAATCTAGATCGCTTTGTTTTTTTTTTTTTTTTTTGAGGAACTATTTATTTATTGTTGCAATAATGGACCTCCAAATATTTGATGTGTTAAGTAATAAACAAAGTTTTCTAATTCTGGTGTTGGCGTCTGACCAGAGTATACATAGGAGTCTTATATCCGCGTCCGAATACTGGCCACCCATAAAAATTCTTATTTATAAACCACACATTACACGGACATTAGCTGTTTCAAAATGACTGCCGAAATGCTTTATTTATTTTTAAAACCTATGATATCAGTGTCCTATACATCTGGAAGTTTGAACTTCATTAATCATTGATATTTTCCACTTCTTCTGGTACCTCTCCCACAAAATGGTATTTTTTTTTTTTTTTGGAAATATAAGTCTAGCTAGGATTTTGCTGAAAACTCAAATTGTTTAATATTGGATCGAAAAGAATTTTTTTTCTTTCCTATAGGGTATATTCTATTAAATTGACATCATTCTATCTGATTCTGGGCTGACTAAATGATATCCTTACAATTGCATGTCAATGTTCCCTCGAAGGAACAAACTCATGTCTTTCTGCAACCTATGCTAAATTAAATTTCATTCGGCGTCTGCGTACCATGGGACAAATTTAGCAAAATTGATACCCGCTATTCGGTACGCGGCACTGTTAAAAATTTAATCTCAATCAAGACCCGTTCGAAATACCTATGGAAGCTATGGCTGCATCTCCGCCAATTTCAACAAAACGCAATAACGTCATTCAATTTTCAATTTGATACGTTGTTCAAAATTTCGTGTTAATCGGACAAACATTAGGAGTTTGGTGCACCATTTATGTAAAATCGGAAGAATGTATATGTCGGAGCAAAATCGAAATCTGAACCGATTTCTACAAAATTTAACACACAGTAATTCAGTACGTTGTGCTGAATTTCGTGCAAATCGAAGAATATTTAGGTACTTTGGTGCACCATTTTCTTTAAATCGGACGAAAATATATACGGGAGCTATATCTAAATCGGATCCGATTTTTTTCCAATTTCAATAGGGCTTGACCTTAGGCTAAATAAATGAGCTGTGCCAAATTTCATCCAATTCGAATCAAAAATGCGACCTGTACTTTGTTTAAAATTTAACATGGACAGACGGACGAACATGCATAAATCGACTTAAAAAGTGATTCTATGCATATTCTTAAAAGGAACCATGTGTCTATCTCGGTTCCTTTTGCCTGTTACAAACATATGCACAAAGACATAGAGTAACTTCGGGTAATGTGGACCAACATTTACATTTAACCGGATTTCGTTAACCCAGTGGGTTTCAATTGTCTATTCCTTTGTATATATGTCAAATAAATCCTCATAAAGTAGGTTAACCCGGTAAAAAGTTCTAACGTATATGCCGTTTTATATTTCAAAAAACTCTAAACTCCAAATAAAAATAATTTGGCGGGTAATTTGGACCTGTATGTGTGTGTGAATGCAAAAATATATGGGTTCATATTTTGGAATAGCCCCCATTTAAGGGTACACTCCATTTGTGGTATTTTGAAGGTCCTTGCTTCATTATCTAACCGAAACACCTGTAATTTCGCATATCGAGTTTTCAGATGATAGAATACCTCTTCGCATATTAAATGCGCCTATGTTTCGGACTTGTCCTCATGTAAAGGTCCCACTTTTTTATAGTGGTCCACATTACCCGACATTAAATATCGACTTCAAAAATGAATATAAATTAAAAATCACTGATTGTAATTACAGCTAAAAATATATTTTTCTTAAAGAAAACAAGAAAACACATAACTTCTTTATATTCTAGAAAAACAAAGTGCTTGGCGATTTTGCAAAAAGATTCGACTATTGTGCTAAAAAAAAAAATGCTCGAATTACACATTTACAATCAGAGCTACATTTTCTACTACTAGATATTCAACATTGCAATTATTTATTAAAAACCAAGTTTGATGTTTGTTTTCACTTATTAGGAAAACATTTATCAAAGCGGCATTGACATATTTCAGGCATTTTCTTAGATAAGGGGGTTTATATTGCCTTATTTTCACATATTTGAAGCCAACTCAATATATCAGCAACATCCTAGCTGTGCGCTATATATATATATATATATATATATTAAATATTAGATGCACCTTGCACCGGTAGTCCGGTCGTCGAAAATATCGATGAAATCGGAGAATGCCTTTAAAATGGCAACAAATCATACAACAAAACGGTGTATATTTGGCCCAAATCGGATATGTTAAATAAAGTTCTATAGTTCATATAAAAATAATGGATTTCTTTTTCCCCAACCAAATACTAATTGAGTTCCATGTTTTGAATAAATTTCAGTTCCTTAGCCAAGGATGAATTCCGTAAACCACAATGGTTTGAAGAGGCCGAAACCGATGATGAATTATTTGATGATGATCGTAAATTTGCTTTCCAAATATTCACCAATCCAATGGAGTTGCAAAAGCATTTCGAACGTCAGATGCAACAAATTTTGGAGGCGGTTAGTGAAATGGATGGTGGAGGTATGCATGCAAATCATTATTGACTTAAGTAATACCAACTAATAATTATGTTTCATTTTGTTGTAGACAAGAACATCATTGTTGAAAAGAATATCAAAGAAGATTATCTAAAGCCGGGATTTGAAAGTGAAATATTGAAAGAATTTGAAAAGCAAAAAGCTAAATACTATGATACTGATTTAGATGGAGAGTAAGTATAACATTTTTTTAGAAATGTTCCTATTTATTTAATTATTTCCTTTTTTATTATTTTGCATAGAATCTATCCAGATCAATTACATTCGCTACTGCAACGTTTTGCCAACGGTGAGGGAGAAGTTATGAAACATTTACATGATCCAGAGACACCACCTGGTCATATTTTGCCGCGCAACGATAACAAAGCATTCCGCAATTGGAATAGAAAACCAAAAATGAGCGATGAAGAAATTATAATGGGTAGAATTCATGGTACCCTTGATGATGACGAGAGTCAAGAGAAGCATAAACGTGCACCACCGCCTCCAGCATTCCCACGTCGTCCGGATATTATGACACCAATGACTCCGATGATGCCGAGAGGTTCATTTGGTGGTGGCGGTGGTGCCTTTGAGGGGACTTATAGTGTAAGTTGAGATTTTCAAATACTATTTATGTACAGACTTTCTATTTATGGAAATTTTTATTCCGGCTTATAGAAGAAGAAAGTGAAGGATATTATTAGGCCGTTCTATTTCGAGTTCTTTAATAAGTGTTTTTTGTCTTCTCCATAGCCACAATAGACGAAATTTTAAATAAATCAAAAGACATTAATTGATAGAAAACCTTTTTTAGACCTTCTATGCATAAAATTCCGTTAATAAGTCTTCTAAGAATACAATTGTTATCATAGTTCAGCTATGAGTAAAATTATTTATTGGTCTTCTTCTATATATATATATATATATATGTATATATATATATGTATTTTGCAAGAATCACAGCGAAAGACCTATAGATGAAATATATAATAACCCAAAAATGTTTAACAAAAAAGTATTTTGCTTTTTATTATTTTAGAAAAATCATTACAAAGAACATAGTTTGGTCTTTTTATAGTTACCATTGGAAAGTGATTTGGCAACGATTTCAATAAACCACGGCATTTTTTCGCGAGTATTTTCTCACATACTGGACCAATATTACTGGACCATACAAATTTCGAAGTCAGAAAATTGGGTTTCGCGAATTTTTTTTTAAATAATTTGTTTGTCGGATTTTGGTTTTTATATATAAACAAATTTGGGATGTTCTGAAGCCGAATGACTATGTTTAATACTCTCATCTTAAGATTAGGACGAGAAAATACCAAATATTAAATGAAATACTGATGGAGAATGTACTGAATTTAAATGTGAGAAAATACCCACGAAAAAATGCCGTGATGTAATAGAATCGTGGTCAAATCGATTATAGTATGTGGTTAACCGCAATTGTAACTATAAAAAGACCAAACGTGTTCAATGTAAAATTTTTTTCTAAAATAATAATAAAAAGCAAAATACTTTTTTGTGATAAACATTTTTGGGTTATTATATATTTCGGCCGATATCTTCGAGACCAATAGGTCTTTCGCTGTGATTCTTGCAGAAATACGATCTAAATATGTCCACAAATGTACTCCATCATACATAAGTCATTTTACATCTTTAGTTTGCTGGCTTCAGGCGTATATATTGGAATTTTTTCAAATTTTTATTGAGGCAAAATACTTTTTACACTCACTGTATATATATATATATATGATTTTATAGATGACAACATTTTGAATTATCATCTTTCAATGGAAAATATTCGATTGGTATTTTAGAAATATGGATATGAATTCAATTTATAGAGAAATAAACTTTGACAGGTCTCTACTGTAATACGATTTCTTATGCACATCTTCTATAAATATAAGTGCTACTACAACTCTCCTATAAAAATTTTTATTCCTCTTTCTACTGGACTTCCCGGATCATTATTTTTCTTTTTTATTAAAACATATTGGTAATCTTCTTGTTTTTTTACAGGGTCCCAAAATGTTCAGTCAAAGTGTTATGACTAAAACCATACGCAAACCGGATGGTACATATGAAACAACCAAAATTACCCAAGATTCACAGGGTAATAAAACAACAACCATTACACGAGTGGTTGATGGCAAAACTGAGACCATAACGACATATGATGGAGCCGCTGCAGCTGGCCATGGTGGAAAGAATCAATTAAAACAATTTGCAACAACCGAACCACAGGCTCAAGTCTATTCGGATCGTAATGTTTATGTATCCAAAGAAGGTTATGCCTTACCACGGAACCTCTGGTGACCAGTGGTTGGCCAATTGCAGATCACTGATAATTTGCAAATTAATTTTATTATTGCCCAATATCAACAACAGCAAAAACAAAAACATGATAAATTGCGTACAGCAACAGCCCCTCCTCTATTTATGGACACTGTTATTATTGTAGTTTCTATTATTATAATGATTGTAGTAGTAATGGCTTTAGCTTCTTTAAAATCAACAAAAACAACCAGAAGAACAAGAACAGCAAATATTTATTATTTATCAACACCATTAACACCTATCGTCGTCTCTAATGATATTTTAGTTTATAGATTACCACGAATTTGGTGTTTTAGATGAAGAAAATCTTATTGAGATATAAAATGAACACAACAAGAACAAAATGAAAACTATCCCACATGAGATTGGGACACTTTTTTCAGCAACAAAAAAGCTACAATTATTACAAAAACATAATGACTTTTTTCACCCACCCCAGCAGTTGAACGAGTCATTGTTGATTTTGTTAACAATTGTCTTTATAATATTGTTTGGAACATTCTGTAACAATGATGGTAATCTACATACCATTGTTATGGAATGCAGTTGCAGCCAGTTTGTGGTTGACTGATTATTGTTGGCCAGCTGGCTGGCTGGCATAAGCGGGGATGTACACAAATTCTTTGTGGTGCATCACCAGAAACACACTTGGGATAAACAACGCAAAAAGACAACAAATATGAAAAACTAAACGAAAATAAAAACTTTCAAATTCTGTGCGAAGAAGTATATTCTTCTACTGGTAGTTTGCAATATTTTCTAAGGTTTTTTTTATTTTTGTATAATTTGTCTTTTTTATTCTTATCTCAAGGCTCTAAAAGTTAATGATAATTTTTTGTTTGCATTAAGGGTCAGGCCATATGCATGTATGCTTGAAGCAAGAAATTATATTGAAAAAATTAAAAAAAGACATTAATGCAATTTGAATAGCAATATAATTTAAAATCTTTTATTTTTTTATTTTGGTTCTACAAACCAAAATTATTTAACTAAGCTTTGAGAATATTTATTAAATACACTTAGGTCTTTTTGCTCTCTACACCACACTGTAGTACAAAAGGAAACAAGAATATGCTGTCATAATTTAGAGGATATACTCTTTCTGTTTTGATTTATGTATGTCAGCGTATGTTCGTTTGTCGGTCCATGTTCATTAGTGATTCAGTTTGTCACTTGTTCTTATTTACATTGAACCCTACTGAAATTGGTTTTGTCCGATTTAATGTAAATGGAGGCACCAATGACTATGCGATCGTTAACATTTTTACACAAACGTCTGAATAGAATTATAATCAAAGGAGACCTTGTGACATATACCTAAAGTATGGTGTAGGGTTTTATATGATCTGTAATGTTCGACTTTAGTCCTTCGCTCCTTTGTATATGATATATTTGAATATTCTATTTTTTATTTATTGTTTGTCCAATATTTTCCAAAATTTCCAGTGTTTCAAAAAAAATGTTTCGTTCATTTTCTGTTCGGATTTTTTAAAGGATAAAGAAAAAATTTTATACCTCGGATTTTTTAAAGGATACGACCAAAATGAAAAAATTTTTTATACCATATTTTTCAAGGAGTTTTTTTGAACCGATTTCTGTTTGTAAGCGAATTAACATTGTTTTAAATTTTATTCTCCCAAAAAAAGACCTAAGAGTATTAATGAAAAATAAATAAAACAAACCAAAGTTTTGAAAAAGTATTTTTTTATTTTTAATAAGGATTCGTTTCTTAGTAGTTAATCAATTAACATTTTCATAAAAATAGTTCACACACACACTCTCACAAATACACAGTCAGTCGTCTGTCTCAATAATGAAAGTAAAAAAAGCGAAGCAAAAACAAAAACTCATCTAAAATACCAAATTATCAATATCATTGCTTAAAGTAAATGACATAGAATATAATTTTATCGTAACAAATGGCTGACGTCGTGAATGTAGTACTTCAAAAACAAGTAATTTAAATGGTAAAACATTGCAAAAATGAAGTCAGCCAACAAGTTTAAATTTTCACCATCTTGATGTTGAACTATTATTTGAAATAAACAATTTATAAATAAAATCTGCTATAAAAAAACAAACACGACAAAAACTAATTTTTTCCATACATCACAAAAAGAAAAGCGAAGAAGATGAATTAAATTTTTTTTTTATTAATATTATATTTTGGAATACAAAACAAAAATTATTTACTTTTAATTTTTGTTTGTTTTATGCAATATAAAGAAGACAAATTAATATATAATTTTTTTTTTCTTAAATGTAGATTCATATTTTTTTATGAAATAGTTTACTTTATGTTGGAGAAATTTAATTTCTCTTTTATTATTTCATAAGGGTTATTTTTAAATAATTATTATTTTTTTAGTTTATAAAATAAATTTTATATGTTGTATGAGCATAATCTTTTTAGTTTTGTTTTAATTTTTCCATGCCATGTAATTTAAATTTGAAATGGAATAAAATTCAAATAAACGGCCTGTTTCTAAAGGTCTCAATGGAAAAATGTAAATCTTTTGTTTTGCAATTGTTATAATTTAGTTTTGATTCGTTTTGTAATATGTTTCTTTGTTTTTCTGGCAACTAATATAATGTTAAATATTTTTAATCGTTTACTTACCTTGTCGATGAAATTCCCAAAAAGTCACCTTTCTTCAGAAAATAGATTAAATATTTTTGGGGACTTTTTATTTACTCTATCATCAGCATTTGGTGATTATATTGGCCAACCAATTCTTATGAAACTTTCTTTTAGTAGTTAGTGTAGGAGACGATTAAAACAATTGATTTTTAATTGTTTTGGGCTTTTCAGATTTTACATCATTTATTATTTATTTGTAATATGTATATTCAACAAAATTATTTCAATTTAATTTTCTAATTTGTTTTAATGGTGACCATCTTTCTTCACGAATCTGAGACCACAATAGCCACATGTGTGTGCACCAGGTTTATCCTGAAAATAAAAGGGGAAAGAGAGTGAAATGTGGTAAGTATCTTATTGGAATCAAAAACATAATAAATATTACTCGGATTTTTGTATACTTTTTACATATTTAATATATAAATATTTTGACGAACAAAAAAATATATTTCGTTGAAAACTGAATAGAATTTTAACAATAAAACCCTACTTAAAAAGTTAATTTTCAATAAATCGATAAAAAGCTACGATCCAGACAATAATGTTGTGCTGGTACTTTTGTATGTTATGTGTTTGCTATAATTTCAAAATCCGCTACATTCTTTGGGCTGTATTGATATGTTCAATAATCACAAAAGTTATAATTTCAATGGAAATCCATCAAAGAGGAGAGGAGCTCATAAAGTATATTTTCTTGATCAGAAAAATAAAATTTGTATGGCCCACAGTATCGCCGATTTTGGCATTCCGTACTTTTGCAGAAAATATTCAAAAATTGTTAATGTTTTGGCATTGGCCAGCTCTAAAGGCGGTTTTACAAATCGATGTGGCTGTAAATTGGCAGCTATTTTAGAATTTTATAGACTGGTGGATTTTCGATTTTTTGAAGATGTTAGCCGCTGTTCTGTGTAGATAACAAAATTCTTCGCAAAATTTTTCCAGGTCCATGTTTTGACCTAGGCCCCATATATAAACGTCACAATTCATTTGTAGCATATTAAGAGTTCTAGCCAAATGTTCAATTTTAGGTATATTTAATGCACCAGAAGGATTGAACTGATGGGTCGCCTCTTCGGACATGATCTAGGTTTGGTAAAAGTATTATGATGTGCAATGTTTGGGTCAAATCCGATATTTTGACTCTTTGTGAGGAGGTACTAGAAGGAATGTACTAATATATCTCACCATGCCACAATATACAGGACTGGTAAAAATATTAGGTTGTTCAAATTACATATTACAAAATAAATTTTCAGCAAAATTTTAACCATTTTGTGTGGAGGTTCCAGAAGGTGTGGACCGATATTCCTCATCTTCGAACTTGATTAATGTTTGGAAGAAATATTACGATGTGTAAAGTTTGGATGGAATTTGTTACTCCCTTCGAGAGTTATCGTGCGCAACAACTAGCCAGGCAGACGGATGGACATTTTGTAAATTCACGCCAAATAGTCTGCAACAGATTTGGTCAAAAAAAAAAAAACATGGGGTATGAAATCAATTTTTCGATGAGGCACATTTTTGACGTATCAATGTGTATATATCCTCATTAGCCATAATAAGGCCGGGGGCATAATGATACATCTTGAAAATGTTCCAAGGTTAAGGATGATACAAAGCAGACTCCCTGGCCATCAATAAAGCAGTCGGACAAAGAACCTGGGATTTGCAACTTCAGACCCGTTACAATATATGTGTGGACATTAGACTACCAAAACGACACAATTTATAAGATCCAATGCAAAACGTTTATGCTAGGTGACTATAGAAACCCGAATGCAGAACCTCCAAACAATTTGATTTGTAATTTACGCAGTATAAAAAAAACAGACTGATTTTCATCAGTCTTGACATGCTCGTTTGCCAAAAGAATAGATGTTTCGTCAACGTTTGGATTTGGAATTGATGCACTTGTAGCAGATACAGCTGCAGGTGCCAAGGCATCCACACTTAGAACAGCCGGATCACAATCGCTTGATCTCGACGATCCGTGGCTTGTGACCTCGATTGCCGCCGGTACTGGGTTATTAATTCCCTGCACCGTAACTTTATTCTTTTTGTTCCTTTTACCCATCGTAGTTAATTAATTTAAGGGCACTACCCCGATCCATTTCCATAGCCCAAAGGGCCAAAAGCGATTCAAAAAACAACAAAAAATAAACTACTCCAAAAGCTTTGGTCCACTATTCAGTTGGAGGGGTTCAGAACCATTGTACTTCAAAAACATTTTTATTATTATTATTATTCCATTATTTGGGGATCCATAGGGCAAAGGACTTCAATATTATATCTACTCTCAACCACTAAATTCAATTTACAGTTCAAATATCTTATTATTATATCACCAATAAAAAAAATATAATTTATTATAGTTATATTTATTTAAAGGTTTCCACAAAGTGCTGAGAAAAGTTGACCTAGAAGACCTAGGCCAGTTTCACTCTGCATCCGCCTATAAGAAGATTGACAACTCCCCAAGCCCTGATTAGAGCGATTACAATTATTGTGAATAGGAAATCCATATCTCTGGAGATATAAGAATTCCGGAAAGATCTTGCTTATTTTGATTATGTTGCATACTATTTCCCAGTTATTCGGGTTGGTATAACTACGCAATCCCCACTTAAAAGGGAAGGCACCCACTTTCCAACCTTATTTTGATTATGTTGCATACTATTTCCCAGTTATTCGGGTTGGTATAACTACGCAATCCCCACTTAAAAGGGAAGGCACCCACTTTCCAACCAAAATCCGGATACTTGATAGTCTTAATTCTGGCTGATTGTCAGATATTTAGAAATATATTAATTTAATTAACAACAAATTTTGAATTTCCTGGCAAGAAATATTTTTAAACTTTTGGAATACATCTCTTATAGAATCGAATAAGATTTTTAGTATTTTGGAACTTCACTTCTGATGTCACTGGCATCAGGATGAAAAGCTCTACCCTTGTAAATATGTCAAATTTTTTCGACAGGTGCTCTTTTTCCGTTGGTATCTTCTAAAAATACAATGGACCAAGGGTCTCCGAGCAGTGGAACAACTAACTTTATTCCATCAGTTCAGCTTCAATTAACCTATCCTAGCCCAAGTTGAAACTACAAACCTGAGTTGTGTGTTTCTGTTATGTTAATAATATAGGAGTCATTACACTGACCAACAACATGTTAATTAATTGTGATCTTCACTAAAAATTCCTTAGCATTCAACGCTGAGCTCGTGATACTTTTTTCTATGCTACATTCAATTTTTTTATATTGTATTTTTTATAGATCGAAGATTATGACGAAAACATTAAATCACATTTCGAAAAAGGTAACCGTGATGTCTTGGCTCATATTCACTGAAAATCTCTGTTTTTTCTTTATTAAAAACGAAGTTTGTGCATTCCTTTTGCCAACTTACCAAATTAATATAAACCTTAGGATGACCCAATGGACCATCACCACCATCACAGTATACAACACGTTCTGTGCATTCTTTGGGAGGAATTTCATCGACTAACTTAATACCCCAGTTTTCGTTGACGTAACGCTTGGCATTGTTGAAACGGACATTGCGATAATCCTTTTCGTCAAAGACCTGAAAAACAAAAAGTACCATCCTTTATATACCAACATACATATAAAATTTTATTTAGCAAAGCCCTCCATAGCGAAACGTTTGCGTAACACAACGAAGAACGCTTTTGATGCGCCCCGAAGCGGTTCTATTCTTCAACTTACTTGACCAGTATGGGTGACTTGTTCCAAATCTTTGCGTGTTGAATATGAACGCACGGGACTGGTGGCCAAGGGTGCAATCAAATTCTTGCCATTCTTTGAAAGAATCGACAAATTGGAAACAACTTTGCGGCAGGCCATATTGAAAACACAGCAAAATGCAAAAAATTTCACACACACTCGAACCAAATGTTAAATGTCAAAACCAGCTGTTGTTGTAAAATGTCAATTTTTTAATGTGTAGCAAAAGCGACACCAAGCGGGCAATAGAAAAAACTATATGATAAATAAATGAAATTAATTCACTTCAGATGACAGTTATTTCAATGCTTTTTAAACGTTTTATAGAAAAAAATTACCCAATGAGTTCTTAGAAATCAACAAAAGTTTTTACTAGTCCTATTTTCATAGCGGGTAATAAGTTAAGACAAACACAATTTTTGTTTTAACTCTCTTAAGTTGAGCAAAAACTATTTGCTCTTTTCGGAACTTGCAATAATCTTATATTTATTGGTTTTAAGGAAGCATACAACAACTACGACGTTGCATCATTCCGTTCTGAGATCTGACGTCATGATCATTTCGGCTGTCAATTACCGCAATGATCAACAAGCCATCGTTGAATTCCGTGATCATAACTCCAAATATCGCAAAATGAAAATGGGAATCCTGCCATCCTCCATCAGATGTTTTAGTGGTGTCGATTATTGTACTGTAATTTTTTCAGGATTACATATTGACGTGGTAAGTGCGAAATTTTATAGCTTTTTAGCCACAAAGACCAACATCTTCCGTAAGCTACTCCTCTGCAAAGTCAACTTCTTTACAACATGGACGCGAAAAGACAATTTAGAAGTTTAAATTTCCAAAAGCAAATAGAGGCCATCATTATGGACTCACTTTTACAGAATGCCACTTTTTTATACCCTCCACCATAGTATGGAGGGTATATTAATTTTGTCATCCCATTTGTAACTCATCGAAATATTAATTTCCGACCTTATATAGTGTATATATTCTTGGTCAGTTCCGTAGGTGTTGATTATTTCCGTAGGTGTTGTCTCCATATAGGCGTATTCTACCATAGTATAAGGGATAGTAGTTACTCGAAGTAGTCAGTTTACCCTACAAATTATAGAATTTTAAGACGATTTAGCCATCGGTTGTAAACATTAGTGATAAAAAAATCAAACCTGACGATAATGAAATATGTCGGCCAGCATTTAGGCATCTCCCCCATATTATTCCTCCTGAAGGAAAGAATTGAGATTGGGGTCGAAATTGGCATATGTCGGTCATTTATTAGGCACGACCCTCTTATAATTATAACTCCAAATATTCGATAATTCCTTCACAATGCAATCTAAATTGCAGTATGAGGATTGTTTATTCTATCATGCGTTATAAGTAGTCCACGTTAATCCACGCTTTGGGGTTTACAATGGTTTACATAAACCGGTTTGTAGAATTATCGGTATGTTCTCTAATTTTCATTTCAAGTATCTGTCAATATATAAGGTATCCACTTTCATTTGGAAAAGGTACCAGTCGAGCAGAATTATATCACGTCTGCATGAGTTACAATCATGTTTAGAAGAATTTCCCGGCCTTGGGACTCGCAACTCATCAATTCCTATGCAATGATAGAAGGTTAATAGGTTTCTTGGTCATTTATTATCGTTGATCCCCATTCCCATACTCTGTGCTATTGTAAATACAAAATACGACACATGGTTAACATTATTTACAGTTTATTTTTTTATATTATAATAAAAATTTGTTTTAGATTTCAAATATGTTTTTTATATAAATTGAAAATAATACATTTTAATAAATGTGTTGTTGTTGTTTATTTTATAGTCATACATAATATATTCATATTATATTTTTTCCTTATAGATGTGTAATATGTTTCTTAATTCCCATTTTTTAACTCTCATTTTTTCTAATACAAACATGATAATATTACGGTAATGTGTAAAGGCCAATTATTTTGCTGTTGTTGGTTTTCGTTTACAGTTAGGAGTTTTTTTGTTTTTGTCTAATACCGATTCGATTTGTTTTTTCTTCTCATTAGAACGATAACATGTAAAAAAGTTTTATTTTACTATAAAAAAAGATTAAGGCAAAAATAATAAGGTTATAATTATAATAATAATTTGCAATAACATAATAATAATAATAGCAAACTTTGAAAGTTTCATGGAAATACATAGATTTGTTTTTGTAACAAAAAATAATAATATTATTGTATACAATTTACGAGATTTTAAATCTGTGAGAGTTTCTTAAAAAAATTGCTGGAACGTAGTATGCGTGTGTTTTACCTCTTGTGGTTCAACACAGAATAAATTGAAATAATTATATAACTGAGGTAATCATCTTGAGATGAGAATTTGCACAGATATTTTAATATTGTAATTTGTTGTTTTTGATAGCAACACTCCTTTGACTCCTCCGCATTTTGAGAAATGTAATCGCCTGTAATAAGCATGGACAATATACAAAACAAAAAAAAAAAATATCAATTTCATTGGTGGTAATTTATCAAAGCCATTGTGTTTTGTTGAGGGTTGTCTTAACGCATTTGGTCCCACGCATAAAAGGATATTTCCCATAATCCAAAAATTTTAGCAGTCATCACATGCAGTGGCATTAAAGGCGGCAAATATTTGTAGTTATTTATTTACGAACCACAAAAAGTAGAAGAAAATGCGTTTTGACTTAGTTATTGGGACGACTTGATTTTCTTTTTTTAAACAATCTCACGGGCACTTGGCACAAATGATTCCCAATAGCTTATTATCTACAATGGTTCAAAATGTTAATTAATTAAATTAGCATTTATCAATTACACAATGATGCGTTACCTGTTGTTGATGGGCCATTTGATCTTCCAAATATTTTACAATATTTGCCTTGAAATCTTTTATTCGATTTAATTCAAAACGTTCCATTTCTTTCTTAATTTCAGTTGAAATTTCTTCAAATTGTTGTTGACATCTTTGGACTTTAACTTGCCACTGAAAAAATATTTTTTTAATATTTGCTTAATTAATAATAAGGTATATTTTTTAAATCATTTTATCTCAGGTTGGTTTTCTTTTTCAAATGATATTCTCTTTGACTGTAACATAAAGTTTATATTCTATGTTTCTCGAACTTACCTCCTCTACTTCCTGATGTGCTTGTTCCAATTTATCGGCACGATTATTTAGCTCATAACGACCACGATTTTCACGTCGTTTTGATAATTGCATTTGTGCATGTTGCCAGTTTTGAAAAACTTTAACACGTTCATGGAAAACCGATTTAATTGCCACAAACAGACCCAAATAATCTTTTATGAATTCCGACATAATATAATAATCGGAATTTGATTGTTCCGAACGTAAAATTTCAATTTTCTCTTCAACATCGGCCAAGGATGATAAGGCTCTCGAGAGACCAGTATGTTCCTCGCAAGTGCTTAGCATGGCAGCTGATTTTGCCACCAAACCGGTAAGATTGGCAAGTTCTTTGCGCGTGGTAACCAAAGATTTTAAAGCGGAATGTAATTTTTGTAGATTATTATCAAGATTTTCGACTTCGGTTATTTTGTCATCAAACCACTGAGGAGAATAAAAATTAGTTTTACAATAAATTTATATTAAATACCAATTATAAAAGTTCAACTTACTGGATCATTTTCATCCATTTTATATGTTATTTTATTAACAGTCTCACCAACTTTATTGAATAGACGCACCACAGCAGCACCACTTAAGGCAGCAGTGTTAACAGCACGAGGTAATTCCTTTTTTAAAAATAGATATATTATTACTTAAATGTGTATATAGTTTTCATATTAAACCTAAATACCTGATCACTTTCTAAAAAGTTAATGAAATCCAAATCAACCCTCAGTACTGGATGTTGGGCAGTGCGGTTTATGTAACGTTCTAGTGCGGCTCTACGCTGTTCCACCCATTCAACATTTGATCCATTGCCAGGTTCATTTTGTTGGGGACTTATTTTAACTTTTGTTGTGCCTATTTATGAAAAAATAAAATACAGTATAAATATACACACATACAACAAATTAAAGGACATCTCAAAAACTTACCAAAAATATTTTTCGAAGGAGCCGGTGGTACAATTTTGCCTAATTTTATATACTTGCTAGCCAGCAGCGAATGTATACCCAGAAAGTCACTAAATCGTCTTAATGTACTAAATTCAGTACGTTTAAATTTAGGAATGTTGGTTTTTGTTGTAACCCTAATTAGAAAAAAATACATAGTTAATGCGTTTGAATTGTGGATTTCAAATATTTTTCTTACTTGTATGTCAAATATGAACCCATACCATCACCAACTTTTTGTGGTTCTGATACAGTAATTTCTATAAAGTAATCACCATTATCCGACAAAACATCTTGCATGTTACTTGATGAGATGCGACGCTGAAAAAATATATAATAATATAATAAATATTTAAAGACGACGAATATACGGGGACGACAAATATTTTGAACATTAATTGTATAAAAAGCGATGTCAAGAGCTTGAGAAATGTTCATGGCAGTTGCAACTCAAATGTAGTTAAGACTGAACTAAACAATATTCAAATATATATTGGTGCTTAGGTGATAATACGAAATTTCGTGTCAAACGGCCTGTAATTTGATTACAAAGTTATAATGGACAGATTCAGCTAGTCGAGATATGATGATCTAGAACGAATATTCGGTGATGATACAATGAGTTTGTACCACAAACATACTTCAAATAATCTCAAAACATAGCTATGTAGGGTATAAAACCTATTTGGACTCTGACAAGATTTGTCATGAAATAATCTTTACACATTAAATTCAAATAAATATCGGTTCGGATGACGCAACATCACCGATCGTAAAGTGTTGTTGTTGTAGCAACTGTCTACATGTTTGTTGTATTTTCTATTATTCTGGTTCTGACTCCTCTGTTTCCAGGTTCAGGAAGGTTGCAATCTGCATCGGCTGCGTCCAAAGAGATTCCGGAGAGAGATGAGTGGGTTTAGCAAGACAGTTAAATAGATGTAGCGTATCGTGTGGTCAAAGTCAACACGCAGGGCTGTTTTTGGAACCGTGCTGACAATTTGGGCCCAATAGGAATTGAGGCGGCTGTACCATCCTTATCTTAGTTGGGCTAAAACCACTCTCGATTGTCTAGGCAGCTGTTGTTCTTCGGCTTCTTCACATGGTATTGGTCCATTGTCTGGGTCACTGCTTTCGTGTGAATGCCGGTAATTCCTGCTCGATAAGCCTGTTGATCTAGGGGTTTTCTTTCTCCTTACATGCCTGGGTGGGGGAATCCTATCCATAAGGTGATGGCATAGATGACTCCTGCGATAACACCCAATCGACAACATTCTGTTGTGACGATGTACGGGTAAGACCATTGCCTCTTCATGTAAACGGTCCACTGGCGTCATAAGGAGGCACCCTGTCGCAGTTCTCAGGGCGGCATTCTGAAAGGTTTGAATGTTCTTCCACTGCGTATCGCTTACATTCGCGAATTACACTGGCGTCGCATAGCTTACCACCGACCGACCTATTGCATTGGTCTCTTTATCAGCACCCCAAGATGTGCCGGTAAGCGACTTGACGACTTTGTTCATGCTTCTCATCTTATCGCAAATAGCAGTGGCTTGCGCGGACGACTTAAATAAGCTATCGAACGTTACACCCAAATTTTTGGTATAGTTTGTGGTCAGAATTAGTGCACAATCGACCATGAAGTTCAGAGGGACGGCTTAATTTCAGCTGTCCATGTGGTAAAATGAGTGGCTCTGAATTTGGCTGCGGATATCTTCATATTCCTCAGATGGAAGAACTGTACTAAATCTGCAACATTTAACCATTAACAGATGTCACCGACAATTGGACCCGACGACATGATCGTACAATCATCCGCATACATTACGATCTCTACGCCGTCCTGTGGTTGTGGAATTTCAGAAAAGTAGGTTAAATAGTTCCGGAGATATGACCCCACCTTGGGGGACTCCCTGTTTCATTCTACGGGGTTTAGACTTCTTGTTTCTGAATTTCACATATGACTGGCGACCAAACATGTACTTGATTATCCAACGTTTCAAATTAGGCCGTAGTTTGGTCTTCTATATATATCCTATATCTCTATATATCCTCGAACAGCTTGGCGTGATTAACAGTATCGAAGGCTTTCTTGACTTATCGAATCTAGGATCAGGTTGATGTTCTATCTGTAGCGAGGTATGGTGAATTCTCTGAATTATTCCGAAGTTATGTTAAGTGCGGTATTCAGAGGTCTGAAATAGGATGATTCAGATTCGAGAAAAATTACATCCAGCTAGTTTACATTAGTTATCAGAATGGGTGGCCCGATGATAATATCTAGAAACCCATATTCCGGTGGAAAGAGCTATCAATATGTATTCCCTTTTGTACCAGACGTCGAATGTCTTCCAGAAGAAAACTAATGTTAGGATTCCCTGTCTCAAAAGTACCCAATCTGGAGTAGGTACTATAATTTAATGCATATTGTAAATCTTATTGGCCTTTATTTTTTTAAATAAAATATAAATAAATAAAAAATTCTACCCTCATAGCCACAAGATAAGTCTGCAAAAAAAAAATAATGCTAAATCCCCACATCCAATCCTGGTGGGACCCTTTTTCTCAAAATATGTTCAACAACAGACTGATCAAAATTAGGAAAAAATTGGGGTTTTTCGATCCGGATTACTGAGAATTCTCAAAATACGAATTATCGCGGTTCTATCGTACAAAATTAGTCATAATTATATTTTTAGTCTACACTTATCAGAAACTCATTACATTTATATTATCTTTGCGCTATGTTTAGAATGAATCATAATGTTGCGTACTTATGTCCAAAACTTTGAAAAAAAAAACAAAATTATCAATCAATTCTGAAGATAGACAAAATCTAAATAATAGTCTATGGACAATAACTGATATCAGTAGAACATCAACAAATACTGCAACCAACCCTTTGGTTTCAACGGAAATAATGACCATAATCTTTCGAACCGCTGCAGTGTTATGCATCACAGCAAACCGAAATATATATACAATACAAATATTATAAACTAAATTTGCTGGACTTGAATGGTGATATTAACCTGATAAGCAACAAATGAAATAAAAAAAATATACAAGACATGCAAAATTATTATAAAATAAACAAAGGATGATTGAGCAAGTTAATAAATACATATTTTATAAATTTAATGCATGTGTGTATTGTGGTGTGGAGTATAGAATAACAAGAGCAATGGGTGAAAGAAGAGGCGGAGGGTAGAGCGGTTGCAGAACCTAACGTAGTTGTATGCACAACCCCAACAACAAACTCTATTCAGTCTATTCAAAGTCGAAAAGAAATTACTGCAGACAGTTCAGTCCATTCGGATTATACTCCGCATCATTCCCCAGCCTAGTTGCAACCGCAAAGAGCATAATATGTTGAACACCACAGACACCGCCCATCAATTTCTTTTAAATTTGTGTTTTGCTTTTCTATACATTCTTTACACCACAGATTACACACACCGATTGAAGAGTAATGAACGCTTTTGACACGCAAGCTATTAACATATTCGTCAATTATTAAATCTCCTGCAAAAAGGTACACAGGACGGCCCCATTACCCATTGCGATTGGGTGCAACATGTTACATTTCGTGTTCTATCTAATCCTTACTTACATGTATTGAAGATTGATTTAAACCATTATTATTTGAGGCCGGAGATGGTACTTCTTCTTCGTCTTGCTCCTCTTCATTGTTCGAATCGCCACCATTATTTATATCAACATCGGCAAAATCGCGTTGCATATTTGATATATCATCGACATTTTCCATAGACATGATTCTAAATTTGTGACTGGATTCTTCGATACGAAAATGTTTTGTTTATTGAAATAATATTCGGTTAGTAATTGAATTGTTGGAATAAAAAGATATTAGAGAGGCGGCGAACTATATTCCTCCGTATACAGTCAGCGTTGAGTGCGTTTTGTAGTCGAATGAAATGACCCAACCAAATTTAAAAACGTTCCGCACATTGCGAATAGATGGGGACGGCAGAGAATGGCTGATAAAAACCAAATTGAAAGATAAATGGAAGGGAACCATCAAGATGTTTACGAATGAGTGTGATGCATAACTTCGTGACATCCGTCATGTTTAGAATAGGAAGAAATGGAAGAATGTCAATCAGCTATTGGATTTCGTGAAGGGAACTAGTTCATGACGTTTTATGACGTTTACAACCGGCAAGAATGTAATGGAATTTTGTCATTGTTCATCGTTTGCGTACAAAATAGCAAAGATTGGAAAAAAATTGTGATTTATTGATTGAACAATCGTTTAAAGATATATTCTATCTTGAATTACAATCATATAAATCCAAAAAGTGTTACAAAACAAGGTTGCACACGAGATCAGTACAACTCTTCTTCTTCGCGAGAGTTATATTAAAGCAATTTAATGGATTTGATAGTTTATGTCAATTGTCTTATTGGATCTGTCGATAATGCAGTTCTCGGTTTGCCACCGCACACAAGGCTAATGTCATGTACAGACGAGCGTTGTTCGCTCTCTCGTTTGTTGTTCGACCCTTAATTATGAAGTAATTACTAAGTTCCCCATACAAAATTGTCTGAGTGAACACCGATTTTTGTACGAAGTTCAATTCAAATCACTCTCTGAATAACGAAGAAATTTGTCCATCCCTAACAATTGAGAGTATTTTCATATTTTCATAATTAAGGGTCCATGGTACAATTATAAAAGGTAACAGCAAATCCCAGCTGATTTGATTCCAACGTAATACTAGTGTCAATATGAATTTGACAAATTATGTTTTTTAAAATCACCCAACAGGAAAATTGGGAAAGCATACAATTTGAAATTGTTATTTATTAAATGTGCTCTCGTATTCAATTTACTTAATCTGCCTGCTGGGAAAGTTTGAGGAAGCGAATCTTTCTTCGAGGAATAACTCGCTATTCCCAGGATTTTCATATGTGTTACACATATATATGGCAATGGCTCAATTATAGGAAAGATGTGGAAGCGATAGAAATATAAATTTGATATATTTTCATTCATGTTTTTCAATTTTTATTTTGAGGATTCGAAAATATTTCATTTTCAAAATAAAAATAATTTGATGATAATTTGTTTGTTTGTTTACATTTTTCTGTCAAATGAGTTGACACTAGTAGAACTTACAACAACAAATTTCCATGTGGTTGTTGTATCGTTTTTTGTACAACAACACTTGCTGTTACCTTCTATTATTATACCATGTTAAGGGTCAAACAACGAATGAGAGAGCGAAAAACACTCGTCAGTACATGACATAAAATTCAACTAGCTCGTTCGACGTTTTTCACCACAATAGTACAACACATGTATTTATATGAATGTTACCGAAATACGTCGACTTACGAATTTTCAAAGTTGAAAAAATTCAACTATGACAGAACGTAGTTTTCTTTTTTTCTTTTGTTGAAAAAAGAAACAAAACGTTAAGAAATATAATTTTTTCAATTAAAAAAATGAGATATTTGAACACATTTTATAATTTGTTTAATTTTATTTCGCAATTTTGTTTAGTTCGCTAAGAGAAATGGATTCGATGTATTTGGGTAATACGGCCGTACAAAACATTTTGCCATAGTGGGGATGTTGAATATATTTGTACGCTTCGTTGAATTTTAGGTAACGTTGTAAAATTTCCAAACTTTTTCAGAAAAAATGGAAATGATGAATGAAAAGTATAAAAATGATTAGTTTTTATACGTGTAGGGGGAAGTAAATTTATTGTCCTATTTATTTCTATATATCTTTCTTCTCATTGGGTTCTAATTAGCTAAAAAACAAGAAACAAATGTGGGATAAACAAAATGAAAATACACATGCAAGTTAGATATATTAGGTAGCCCCAACGGCGAATTGGGAACATGATATGTCAAAATTGTTATCAAGACGAATAATAATAATTTCGCCATGACATACAAAACTCAAAGCAAATTAAATTCAACCAATCAGAATTTAGCATTTTGAAATGTGAAAAAATATTTGTTTACTTTTTTAATATTTTGAAAATTGTAAATATATGTGAAAATATCTGATTTGTGAATAGAAAACAAAATCAAAGGAGCGACTTAAAATCAATAAAGATGGCGTCAGCGGATGTATGGAGTGTTTTATGTCCTCATATGAAATGTGAAAAACAAATAAATAAAGCATAACTGAAGGCATAGAAAACGTGTTTTGATGTACACATTGAACCGCTCCAAGAACCTCAAGTGTCACCACACAGACAAACTATTCTGGTCGAATGGTCTATTTTTTGCAAAAAGTCTTTTTAAATAGAAGACAATAATATTTTTTTATAAAAGACCGAAGTGAAAGGAATCTTTTAGAAGACAAAAAGGTCCAATTGAATCTAGATCTTCTTTTCAATTTCAAAATTAGGTTTTCGGATCCATGGTATTCTCATCTCGATGGCCTACCGATATGCCTTTTTAACTCCTTTCTGTTCTATATTCTCAAATGACATGAATTAAGAATAGTGTTGTATGAACGGGTTAATTCATGTAGGTAATTCCAAGGCCTATATAAGGTCGGGCAATAAGCACAGCTGAGTATAAAGTTTGCTGTCAAATCATATTTTGAAACCTGTGCATACATACATACAAAATTATGTTAGACGTCAAAACGAAAATATTAATACTTTTCAACATTAAATTCAATTTTAATTTACATATAAAAAAAGATTGACGTCAAACTTAAGTTTTCTCTATGAATTCGCCTACTGGCCGACCTTATATATGCCTTGGGTAATTCTGAGAGCGAACTACGTTGTTTGAATGCCCATCACAATGAATGCCATAGCACAATGAATAGGTAGTCCATTTAGCGCAGCTGATGTCTCGATTAACTGTCAAATTACGAAATTTCTACTTGAATTCAATGTGCAATGTTGTCAACCATGTGAAATATAAGAACAAATTTGACAGATGGTCGAGTCAAAAACGTTTTTGTTTTTATACATCTCATTATTATTGCACCATGGTCCAGTCTTTACGACCTTATATAGGCCTTGGGTAATTCTGAGAGCGAACTACGTTGTTTGAATGCCCGTCAGAACATGGCATAAGGTGTATTTAAAAAGGTGTATACATAAGCTCTGCCTGTTCACTCGATATTTGGTAACAATTGTTACCAAATGTTGTCTGTTTACACAAAAATCCAGTAAAAGAGAGTCAAATGAGAAAGCAAGTTTCACAGTTGAACAACAACAAACTTACTGGAGTTTACTGAAAGAATTTTATGCAGTAAGATTTTGCAAACTCAGCATTTTTGGATCAGCTGTTTTATGACCAAAAACATAAAAACTATCCAAAACATTTTTTAATTTGCAAAGTTCAATTTGAAGTTAAGTTGTATAAAAATAACTGAAAATGGAAGAAAAATCCTAAGTAATGCAAAGTTTCATTAAATTATAAACTAATTCCTTATATATTTTTAGGCAAGTTCCAGATAGAGGGCAATGCATTGATGCAGGAAGCTTAAATGTTCCCGGGGAACATACCAAATCAATTTTTCTTTTATTGTTCATTTTATTTTTAATATTAAATGCAATACAAATAATTGTGTTTGTCCTTTGTTTGTTTATTTTGGTGCAAATCAAATGTTTTCGTGAATCAGCTGTTTATTTGCTAAATCTTACTAAATGTTGTCTGTTTACTTTTCTCAGCACTATCGCAAAAGAGATACTGAATAAATGTTACTGGAAAAGTAACCAGACACTCCTATTATATAACAAAAACAACATTATTGTTATGAAAATAAATTGTCAATGCCTAAAATTTAATATTAGGGTCGGTCATAGAATTTTTGTAGGAAAATATATAAAATCTTTAAACAAATTCTCCAAATAAACATACTGTTGTATTATCGCGGTAAAATGGTAAAATTTAAAATGCAAATCTTTTTTCCGGTACGTTTTGAGACCAATTTATAATAAATTAATTGTAAATATTTTTTTATGTGAAGATCCTAATATATTCTGACAATTTTTTTACAATTTTTTTAGTAAAACACAAACTGATTTTCACTTACACCTTGCACAAGGCTTATTAATAGGTCTTGAATTAAAATTTTATACAGAGCGATTTTTGCTAGTAAGAATTTATTTCAATTCACTCTTCCTACTGTACTTTTGAGCAAACAAACAACATACAGTACATGGATTGTACAAGCTAGGCTAAAGCAACATACAAATTACAATTTGTTTTGTTGTGGCTTGTTATGTCAAAGCCATACATAAAATGTGTGAATGTATGTGTAATTTTTTCAAAACATATAACAAATATTATCTATTTATGTCGTTTATGTCCTACGCAACTTTGTGAGGAAAATCCGACATTCCATTAATTTTTCGCGCTTTTAGTAAAATATAAAAAATATGACAAATCAACACAACGACTTGTTGCATTTGTATTTACTTATTCTGACATAACAAGTCTGTAATTGCATTGTACCATGACACAGTGATTGTACAGATTATTGAGAATGCGTTCATGCCTGATTATTATTTATTGTTTAAACATTTATAACTTTAACACGGAACCCGTTCCCATTCCAGAAACCAATTAAATCCAAAAAAATGTCTTTATGAATTTCTTGCTCGAGAAAATGCTTTATATGCCAGTCAAAAATCTAGTGGATTATTTTAATCTATTAAGGTACATTTATATTTACGAAATCCACTCGATCTCAAATGTCAATTCCATTGCTTATACGTCAATTATAATCTACCGGATTTGTGAACAGGATTAAAGTGACGTATACGCAATTGAATTGAAGTTTGAGATCGAGTGGATTTAGTATTCTAAACGTAGCCTAAGCTATTGAAATGATATAATATTTGATCGATTATTACGAACTTTAGGTAAAAGCGTGCATAGACTACAGTTTTTATTTAAAGTGGATTATCTCGATTTAAATGTTAAATCATCAATTTACCTCCATTTACCATACAAAATTAAATTCATTCAATATCTCGAAATCCTATAGAGATAATTTTACATAATATTCTTTAATATTGGTTAATATTCAAAATAACATCTTAACAAAAATATATCAGTTGCTGAAAATTGCATTTTCTGAATTTATAATAAATATTACTATCATTTCAAACGTCAAATGTTTTTATGTATTTCTAATGGTGAGCAATTCGAATCATTCCATATTAATACTAGTCTAAACACATGGGATTTGATATGTAGATTTACAAATCACATCAATTTGGAATGCATAGTCTAAAGTGCCTTATATATTTGATGTTTTTATCTCGATTTAATTGATAAGTCGAAGTAAAGATTTAAAATACATTTACATATACGATTTTTAATCGACTCGATTAACGAAATCCAGAAAAACACCCTAATTGTTTACACATACCTTTAATCATAATCTAAATGCCGATCAGCTGATGTTTGTTAAAGCGAATTTACATATAACATCTAATCATGATTAAAGGCTGAATCAGGGTTTATTTTCTTAATCAGTCTGAATTTACCATGATTTATCATACAAATTTAAATCATCAAGCAGCAGGATTTATTTTAAATCATGATCGAAATCATGATACTACTGAGATGCAACGCAGGTTTTGTACGAAGAAATACAACTCTCACAATGTACCAAAATTTGCAACTGTTTTTACATGCCGTTTGTTTTTAAATTTAACGGCTGACAAATACAAAAATGGGAGATCAAAGGAAAATAAAAATTAATTATAGAATTTTTGTGTTTTTAGGTGTTTTTTTTTTTTACTTTCCAAACGATCACAGTATTGCAAAAACATTTCCATTGTGGTAATTCTTCTATTCTTTTTCAAATTGCAAACAAATATTTTTGGCGCAAATTAATAATTTTGTATGTATACTAACAAACATCAGCTGATCGGCATTTAGATCATTATTAAGGGTATGTGTAAACAATTAGGGTGTATTTCTGGATTTCGTTAATCGAGTCGATTTATATTATTAAATTATTAATTTGTACCAAAAATATGTTTTTGCAATTTGAAAATAATGAAAAAAAAGAACTACAACAATGGAAAAGTTTTTGCGATGCTGTGATCGTTTGGAAACACATAAAAACGAAAAACTATATATAATTTTTTTCCTTTGATCTTTCATTTTTGTATTTGGCAACCGTTAAATTTAAAAACTAACAACATATGGAAACAGTTGCAAATTTTGCTTTGCATCCATAGCATCATGATTTCGATTATGATTTAAAATATACCCTGCCGCACGATGATTTAAATTTTTATGATAAATGTCTTGATTTAGATTAGACGAGTTTACTTGCGGCAATTCTTGTCGTTCTTTTTTGAACTTGCTTAAGTCCCAATTTAGATTAGGCGAGTTTACTTGCGGCAAGTCTTTGTTTGTAGGAGAGAGAGGCAAGGGGTATAGAAATGAAAAAAATTGCTCGTACCGACAATTTTTTGGCAATTCGTTTTGTGTATTTCGTATTTGTTGACATTTTATATAAATTTAAATGTGCAAAAACAACAAATAAAAAAATATTTTGGAAACCGATTTGCCTTGTATAGACGCATGGAGCAAGTTCAAAAGAGAACGATAAAAATTGCCGCAACTAAACTCGCCTAATATAAATCAGGACTTAATGCGTTTGTACAAGGCAATTTGGTTTCCAAAATATTTTTCTATTTGTTGTTTTTTTTTTCACATTTAAATCTATATAAAATGTCAACAAATACGAAATACACAAAACGAATTGCCAGAAAATTGTCGGTACGAGCAATTTTTTTTTCATTTCTATTCCCCTTGCCCCTCTCTCCTAAAAACAAAGACTTGCCGCAAGTAAACTCGCCTAATCTAAATCAAGATAATCATAAGGAAAAGTTTGAAAGATGGTCGAGACAAAAACAAAGGTTTCTGTTTTGATTCATCACCTTATTATTGTATCATGGTCCAGTCCATGGTACAATGAATAGGTAGTCCATTTAGCGCAGCTGATGTCTCGATTTACTGTCAAAGTACGTAATTTCTACTTGAATTCGTTGTGCAATGTTGTCAACCATGTGAAATATTATAAGAACAAATTTGACAGATGGTCGAGTCAAAAACGTTTTTGTTTTTATACATCTCATTATTATTGCACCATGGTTCAGTCTTTACGGTTTACGACGACTGATAAGCGCGTGAAAATGTCATTTTGAAAATACAGTATGTTTACGCGCATAATAAAAATATGTCCAATTTCAAGAGTAAGGAAAACCCCCTGACTAACTGATGAAAATTTCCTATTTTTTACAAAATAAACAAAAAATATGATATGACGTTGTATTTATTGCAGACATGTTTATATCAAACAATACATTCGGAAATATGGCAGATAACAGCTAAATTAATTTAAAAATAATATTTGCTATCACGTATTGTCTTAAGTTTTTTTGCTTTTTTTTTAATTTGAGATAAGCTCCATTGTAAACAAAAATTCCACAGAGAGAAATTCTAAGAAATACTGAATTGTATTATTATTATGTTTTTATCGATTTAATATTATTTATAAAATTGATTAACGGGCGTCCATCACTTCCGATACTTGTGTTAACCCAATGAAGATGGCACAACTTGATTTTGAGCAATCCATGTATTAAACGATGACACTTGAACGAACACTGATGGCGAATTGGGCTGGCCACATGGCAATTTGCCCCATGAAACAATACCAATTAAGACATTTTTACCATTTACTTGTTGTACCAATGGTCCACCAGAGTCCGAGGTACAAATACCAATGCCGCCGGTTAAAGGTCCTGTACACAGATTTGTGTTGTGAACATCGGCGCCTTTTGATCCCAAAGCTTTTTCACATGAATCCAAAGAAATGATGGGAACTGTTGCCGTTTGTAGTATCGAAGGGTATGCAGCAGTATTTGTTGTTGACGTACTACCCCAACCAAAAAGTAGAGCATTTCCAGTGGGAACAGTACCGCTAACGGGTAACGAAACAGCGGCCACAGCAATCGACCATTGGAACGGTGTTTTAGTGTAGACCAAGCCAATGTCGTACGGTGTGGTTCCACCCAAATACAAATCGTTTACAACATAATAAGCAATTGATCTTTTTTGGGTTGTAGTACCGGTACCTGCAACATAAATACTTCCAGCGACGAGGGTACTGCTCATAACCTGGGATGACGAAGTCAAACAATGCGCGGCGGTAACGACCCAATTTTGGTTTAAAATACTTCCGGCACAATAATGGACACCACCTTTTTGTATAGACACAATGTATGGAGCACTATTAGCAGCTGCATTGGTGCCACCAACTAACCGACCCTCAGGCGTAACTCTGGCCAACGTATTTGCTTCGCATGTTATTTTGGCGAATCCCAAAATAAACATGAGACAGAAGTAAAATACTTTGTGTACGTTACCCATGGCGAAAATAATTGAACTGACCAAGAAGATTAAAATTTTTAGCACTTTATTGCTGCATACAAGTGCCTCTCCAAGATAAACGTTCTCAAAACACAATGGGCAGATGTTTTGTCCGGTAAAGACGACAAAGTTATACCTTACAAGTAGCTATACCTTAGAAGATTTAATTATTGATATGGTAGATTTAAAGTTTAAGATTAAATTGATAAGGAAACAGGATTAACGTGGCGTATACGCCATGGAATTGACGTTTGAAATCGGGTGGATTTAGAAGTTTTTATGTAAATACGTAAATACGCCTACATGCATGATGCAATCATAACGTGACCCAGTAGAAAATACTCTCTTGCGTGACAATTTCGTTAACGAAACGTTGACGAAAATTATGGAATTGTCATTCATAACTAAACACATGATATGTCGTCGAAAATGTCGTTCTTCTCGAAATATGAAAACAAAACAAAAATAGTTTGAATCGAGTGTACTATGAAATATTGACAGAAACAAATAGAAAATTCTTCCTGAAAATATATATAAGAAATTTGATAAAGAAGACGTGTTTTCTTGGTTAAAATAGGTAAGTTTAAAAGAATATATAATTATATATATCATTATTTAAGTGCATTGTTTTACTCTTAGGATGGGGCAAATGAATGGCAATTGGTGAAATATTGTAAGTAATATCTGAAAGAAGTTTCATATTCCAATGCATTTTAATTTTGTTGTTTCTTTACAGATGATGTTACAATGGAGATAATCATTACGCCAAATTCTCACACAATGTGCTTATTTATATTATATGATATTATGTAAATATAAAGTATGTTTTTGTAATATAATAAATTTCATGCTATAAAAAATATAAATGAAAAATATGTATATATATTATTATTTGAATTTTAAATGGGGTATGATTGACGACAGGATTGATGACAATAGGTATACAGTCATCAATGAATGTGTAAACGACAGGAAGTGAATCTGTCGATAACGAAAAGTAGGGAGATTAGTCGCCGAAGTTGTCGTCAACGACAACTTCGCTTACCCTGTCGCCCAAGTTGTCGTGCATGAATACTGCGACACTTGTGTGAAAATTTCGTCAACGATTTCACATTGTTGTCTGCAAGGTGTCTTCAAGGAATTGCCATTGTCTTACAGGATTCGTTAATGTTGTCTGCAAGACACTTTCTACTGGGGATGTATCAAAACAAAAACCTTTGTTTTTGTCTTGACCTTCTGCCAAATGTTTCCTTATAATATTTAACATGGTTGGCAACATTGCACATCCAATTCAAGTAGAAATTAGGCATTTTGACAGTTAATCGAGACATCAGCTGCGCTTAATGGACTACCTAATTATTGTGGCATGCCTGTCGTTTACAAACGACATTCTAAAGTAATCAATAATACAAGTTAAAAACAATTTTTGCCAATACATGTACTTTTGACATTATGACCAGATGCCATAATTTTTAAATGATTTCTAATAGATTAATGTAATAAATAATAAAATCATCAAAAAAGTGTTGATGTTAAATATTTATTAATTTGTACTTTAAGATTTATTTTTAATTTTTGGGAATTTTTTAAATATATGAAGAAAATAGTATATAAAACGACTCATCGAACATTAATCCAACGTAAGTGTAGGGCATTAAGCAAAATAATTGATAAGACAATTGTTTATATACGATCCCCACTTCTTTGATTGAAACTATAAGTAATTAAAACGTGAGCATTCTCATTTCCCGATATTTCATAATATATGGTAAATATGTACACAAATGCCTTTCTATTGTTGGCCTATTACTATCTATTACGGAGAAATGTGACTCTACGTTCGAATGAATATTTAAATGTTATATTTTTCAAATTATTATAGTACGTTTACAATGTACCGGATCTATTAAATCCAGCAGATCTAACTTGTCAATTCCATAACATATAAAATCCAAATAAATTCTCATAAAGGAGGTTTATACGGCAAAATGTTTAATGTAAATGTCCTTTTAGAATTATAATATATTTCCCAGAGTTATGTTAATAATAAATAAATATACGTACAAATTATATATGTTTTAAATCTAGTACAATATTTTTATGATTATGTTACGAAAGTTGTAGACGTATTTTCAATGACAGTTACATATACGATTTTAAAACAACTCGATTAACGAAATCCAGAAATACACCCTAATTGTTTACACATACCTTTAATGATGATCTAAATGCCGATCAGCTGATGTTTGTTAGTATACATACAACATTAGCTCTGTCTGTTAACTCGATATTTGGTAACAATTGTTACTAAATGTTGTCTGTTTACACAAAAATCCAGTAAAAGAGAGTCAAGTGAGAGAGCAAGTTTGACAACTCAGCCATTTTCTGATCAGCTGTTTTCAGACCAAACACAAAAATTATTTAATTTTTTTTTTAATTTGCAAAGTTCAATTCGAAGTTAATTACAGAAAATGGAAGAAAATTCGTAAGTAATGCAAAGTTTCATTAAATTAGAAACTAATTCCTTATATATTTTTAGGCAAGTTCCAGATAGAGGGCAATGTATTGATGCAGGGAGCTTAAATGTTCCCGGGGGACATACCAGATCAATTTTTCTTTTATTATTCATTTTTATTTTTAATATTAAATGCAATACAAATAATTGTGTTCGTCCTTTGTTTGTTGTATATTTTGGCGCAAATCAAATGTTTTCTTGAATCAGCTGTTTATTTGCTAAATTTTAGTAAATGTTTTCTGTTTACTTTTTTCAGTATTATCGCAAAAGAGTGTAAAAACGGCTTACTCTCTGAACTAGAACTTACTGAAAAATGTTACTGGAAAAGTAACCAGACACACCTATTATTAATTTGCGCCAAAACATTTGTTTGCAATTTGAAAAGAAAAAAAGTTACAACAATGGAGATGTTTTTGCATTGCTGTGATAACTAAAGGCTGAATCAGGGTTTATTTTCTTAATCAGGCTGAATTTACCATGATTTATCATACAAATTTAAATCATCGTGCGGTAGGGTTTATTTTAAATCATGATCGAAATCATGATACTAATGAGATGCAACGCGGTTTTTGTACAAAAAAATACAACTCTCACTCAATGTACCAAAACTTGCAACTGTTTTCACATGTTGTTTGCATGGCACAATAAATAGGTAGTCCATCTAGCGCAGCTGATGTCTCGATTAACTGTCAAAGTGCGTAATTTCTACTTGAATTCGATGTGCAACGTTGCCAACCATGTAAAATATTATAAGGACAATTTTGACAGATGATCGAGACAAAAACAAAGGTTGTTGTTGTGATACATCACCTTGTTATTGCATCATTTTAATTTTAACGGTTGCTAAATACAAAAATTAAAGATCAAAGGAAATTAGAAAAAAAAAATTATTTATAGTTTTTCTTTTTTATGTCTTTGTTTTTATTTTCGCAAAAACATTTCCATTGTTGTAATTCTTTTTTTCTTTATTTTCAAATTGGAAACATATTTTTGGCGCAAATTAATAATGCTGTATGTATACTAACAAACATCAGCTGATCGGCATTTAGATCATGATTAAAGGTATGTGTAAACAATTAGGGTGTATAGATTTCGTTAATCGATTTAAAATCATATGCAAATGTACTTTAAGGTATCGAATACGCTATGGAATTGAGTGAATTTAGTAGTCTAACATACATACATACGTGTGCACATGGTACAATAATACAAAGTGGGATAATAGTACGTTTATACTTAACCGGGTTTCGTGAACCCAGTGGGTTTCAATTGTCAATTCCTTTGCATACATGTCAAATAAATCCTCATATAGTAGGTTAACCCGGTAAAAAGTTTTAATGTATATGCCGTTTAACTTGAGGTGAATAGCAACAAATCAACTCTGTAGGTTTTGGTTTCTTCTGTCAAAAATAAAATAAATATACGCAAAAGTTGTTGGTATGATTTGAAATTTGTTCAACAAATAACTAAAAATAAATGAAAGATTATGATTTCTTCCAAAAATCGAGTGGGGAATTCCCATGGTACAATTATACAAAGTTACTGCAAAATCCAGCTGATATATCGAAGATATTGCAAAAAAAGGTGTCTTTATCATTTATTCAAGGAAGTAAACAAGTATTTGCAGAATTGCACCATAACCAATATGTTGAATGACTAATGAAATATTATTGTTATTTTCTTACGGCTTATGAGTTCATCAAAAAAAATTCCTATGTCTCAAGGGAATCACATCGATATATACACATTTATTCAACAGAATAGAAACCGAAAGATTTTTGTAATAAAGCAGAAAAAATGTGATGTGTGATAAAATAAATAAAAGATCACGGCTACATTTTTATATAAATCAATTATAGACAATGCTCTTCAGTTAGTATAACATAGCATAGCTATAAAACCGCATTTACTTTATAATAACTGCAGCTGAATAAAAATCAATATGGCCTCTGATAAAATTACAACATACAAAATTATTATTATTGGAATGCAGGGCGTTGGTAAAAGTTCTTTGCTTAAAAACTTCTTACACAACCACTTCGATAGCACATATAAGCCTACACAGGGCATTGAATTTTTAACGAAGCGAATCTATTGCAACGAACAATATTTACGTCTCCAAATATGGGATACTGGTGGTCAGGAACGTTTTAACTCCATTATACCTTCATATGTTCGTGATTCAATATTGACAATCGTGGTTTATGATATTACCAATGCATTATCATTTCGCAGAGCATCTAAGTGGATTGATATAATTCGTGCCGAACAATATAGGTGTGTAAATATATTGCTAGTTGGCAATAAAATTGATCTCTACGAAGAACGTCAAATCGCCACCGCAGAAGGAGAAAGCAAATCTAATGCAAAAAATGTAATGTTTATGGAAACCAGTGCCAAACTAAGTACAAATATAAATCAACTATTTGAAAAAGTTGCAATGTTGCTAATAGAACATAACTCGAAAGTGAAATTAAAAAGAATT